GTGAGAGTCTCAATGGGATCTCTGTGACCAAACCCATCAAACATTCCACTTCACTAACATCCATATCCTACAGTTTTTACTTGATCCTTACTTCTGCAAAATTGCCACTGTCCTTATTGGGAGATATGCTAGAATAAAGACTGAGTAAGAACTACAGAACACTTCACTATATTCTGAGTTTCACTGTAATACATACAGTAATTGACAAATATATAAAAAACATACATAAATGTTGAAACAAATTTTCTCTAATAAAGCAGTATAATTAACATGGAAAAAACTAAAATGCTCATAACCTTACATTTGAAATTTTATGTAAAAAAAAACCAAATCAACAGTTGTCCTTTCTCTGGTCAAAGGAAATACTGAAAATAATGATTCTTCCCTTCATGAGCCTTTTTTTAAAAAATGATCTCATGGCGTAAAAATAGCTTAGAGTGGTTTTCTAACAAGTAGCCAGAAGATGGATATTCAGTATTATTTTAGAAAGCAAGTAAGATATTAAAGTGCCATTACTTTGCCAACAAGAAATAAGCAATGCATACAAGTGAATCAAGTTTCCTATTGCAAAGGCAATGAGTTTCTTTCATTTTCAGACTGACTACCACTTCTAACAATGCAAGTACAATGGGGGTTTCCACAAAAGGAGATTATGGTCTGTGCAGAATTTAAAACTCTATGTAAGAACCTTCCTTTAACCAAAACTTAGTTTTTCCTTTATTGAATAAATTATTTGCATGAATGTCAAATATCCAAACATTTTTATATTCCCCAAACACTTCAGCCAAACGAAGTTGTAGTATATGATCTTCTGCGAAGAAACTGATTTTGAAGACAGAAATATTATGAGAACATACCTGCTGAAAAATGTTGCAATTCTGTAAACTGACAAATGAGTCAAGTTAAGGGACAAGGTCTGTGTACATACAAATTAACAAAATGTTTAAAATACTTATAAACTAATAAGAGAACTCAGAGCTGGCTTCATTACGTCATCATTTCCTGACTATGCAGGAGGGTTTCTATTTTAGTAAGGTGAAGCTGTACAGACAGAAGCAAATCTAAACTTTCTGCAGATCTGAAGATACAAAACAAGCATCCTTGAAGCAACTTTATAGAACATAAAGGCAAGTAATGTTTAATCCATTATTTTCATGTTGAGCTTAAAGTAACTTAAATCTCCATGTTTATTAAGACTGACTTCCTTCTCTAAAGTGTTAATTGAACAAAGGCACATTTTCTGTAACTAATAAAAGGAAGCTTACTTCCACCCATAGTGCGAATTTTAAATAACAGCTGCATTATGTGACTGTAAATTCAAGCAAACAGATTTTGTTTTTTAACATATGCATAAGCTATTTGGTCCAAGTATTTTAACAATTAATTGAACCCTTCCCATAAGTAATAGCATCAACATTGATTTTTACCTAAGTGGTTTATATAGTGAAATGAATCACTTATATACTGAATGGGTAAACATGCTGGACCTTGCTGATTACCTTAAATACACCCACACTACAGCAGATCCATGAGGACATCTGATGGAGGCAGAGAGATGTTAACAAAAGAAAATGTATATGTCAACAACCCCAAAAACTGAGCATTTATTCCCAAAGTACTTCCGCTCTTACAAAAACAAACCAAAAAAAATGAATAAACAAAAAACCCTAGCATACAAGCTCTCAGTCAAAATCAAGAGAAACCAATTTGGATTTGTCCAAAAAGGCTCAATCAGCACTCAAGTGAGTTTATCATGATTACGAGTTGTTCTAACACCACCCACAATTTTAAAAATATATCTAAAATGAATAACAATAAATGTATGAATCAGCAACAAGAAAATCTTTTCACATTATCTCAAAAAAGGTCCACTAAATCATATCAATTGGATATTTAGAAACCTTTTAAGAACTTTTGATATATCCATTTATTCAATTTAAACAGCTAATTATTCCCCTCACTAAATATAGTAACTGGAGCAAAATTCTAATTTTACAGGCACACAATGAAGATTTATACATGCTGATCTCTTTTTGGTATTAATGGATATCCATGCATGCAGCAATGGCTTGATTTCAGTCACAGTTACACTTATTTATATATCAAACCTTCCTACCATCCTAATATATCCAGGTATTTTTTATCTATGTAGCACCTACAAGCCAGATTCCTAACTGAAACTCATTTTAAACAATTAGTTTGGAATTAGGTCTTCAGTAACAATTTAATAAAAAACACTGTTTATTACAGAGTGTTTCCTCATTTACATCACTCAGAATGGCACAGCTAATGAACTGACTAGACACTAGACCCTATAAGTAAGTTACAGGCTACAAGCAATATGGAGTGTGGATGAACAGATTTATGCATATACTTCTACTGTACACTTAGATCATTATATTTGTAAAATTGTTGTAGTATACTGAAGTAATGCATTATATAACAAGCACTTAATCAATACCGAGAGAAATCTAAAACCTGTAAAGAGAAAGAAGGAAGGGAGAGTTTACGAGAATATATACTGCCTAAAATAATGTTCTCTAGATAGAAAAATGACTATCTTGGATATGGTGAAAAATGTAACTGTTACTTGGAGTGTTTTGAGCAGTTTCAAATATGTTTTCAAACATTTCCAATAATACTGATTTATATTTATACTTACAGAATTTTATTTAAAAATTATGCCTTTTTCATTGTAACATCTTAGGAATAGAATACTTTCATAAAAACATGATCAAAATTGAATGGACTGGTAGATAAGACTTTATCACTACGGTGTACATTAACAAAATCCCACTCTTGTGGGATGTGTCCTATCCTCCTGTTGATGGGTCTCAGTATCTTTTTAAAAATATTACTTTTAATTTGACCCAGTGGACTAACCATATTAGAGAAATTTCTGAAACTCCCTCCAAATCTCCTTCCTTATCACCACACTGCACTACATAATTTTTCCATTCCACGTGTCCATTTTACTTTATTGCCCTTACACTAACATTTTCACTTGAATCACCTAAATCATCCATGAGGAATCAAAACAATTTTGTATAAATTATAAAGATTCATTGATACCAAGTGTAGAGGATAAGATATTTATGTGTGTAATGAAATAAACTATTGTTTCATTATAGAGAACAACAAAAATAAGAGATTTAAAACTGCACATTTCAAGGCACAAGGTAACAATTAAGTGATGGGGGAAGGGAGGAGGAGAGATTAGGAAGACATTTCCCATTTAAAAAGGTCTCACCATTATTGTTCAATACAGGGATACTCTCGTCAAAAGCATCTGGTACTGGCCACTTTCAGACCGAGTACTGGACTAAACAAACCACTGGTGTAATCTAGAAACTCTGTATTATGAAGTAAAATAGATGGCAGACATTAAAACAATGAACTGAGCTGATCTTTAAATGCTTTCTTCACTTACAAGCCTAAAATGAAAAGTAACCTTTCATCACTTAAAAGCCTAAAATGTCCCCTGATGCCACTTAGAAATTGCATTCTTCTGCTGCTTGGGAAAACCATGAGCAGTATCAGTCAGGCAATGGGAACCATTCAAATACTGAGGATAGGGAGGTCTGTCTGTCTGTCTGAGTCAGACACAGACACAGACACACACCTTTCCTCTCAGGAATTAGAAGCTGCGGGAGGATACAAGGCACTCTGGCAACCACCAAGAAGCTAAGGAAGTCACAGAGTAGACCACTGCTCCAAAGTAGGGTGGCTAAACAGAGAAAGCTCCTTTCTCTCTTTCAGCAGCTGAGTTAGCAGGACAAAACTTCAGTCTTCAAACACTTATGACCAAGAGGCTGACACAAAAAATGCTGATCCTTTGCCCAGCAGCTGGGCATGTCACAAGGATACTGCCACAAAATTTGCATAGTTTATTCTTCATTGCCAATTTTTGTATTAAAATAAAAGTTATAAACCTAGTCCTCTCACTAATATGTATCTGCCTATTTTCTTCAGATCCTGGGTACAGATACTACAGTTAGAATCTAAATAACCTAAATAACATACCTTTTTTCTTCTTTTCATGCCTTTTGTATGCAATACTATATATGTTCTATTGGGAAATATGCAGTTTCTTTATAGCTAAAGTTCACAACTGATATTTTTCCTTGTGCATGGAAACTACATTAAATGTCATGGTTTTTTAATTATTTTTATTTACTTTTAAAACAAATATCCTTTCAATGTGTATTTCTTTTAGAAAAGGCTACTTACAAAATGTAAGGACAATCAGAAGAGTTCTATTTAATTTGCAACTATTTAAAAGAGATTTATAGGTAAAATTACAGATTAAAAATAAATTTTGATTCATGGAAATAAAATCTTAATTAAGAATAACCCTTAATATCACTTTTAAAATTAAAGATGCCATTTTTAAATGGCTAAATGGTTAGCCTACATAAGTGTTTCTCAAACTTTGCTCCACGGAGCCCCAGGGCTCCACAAGACATCTCCAGGGGCTTGGCGAGGTTGACAAACTGGAAACATCAATAGGTACAACACATACAATCAGTGGACCGCTGGGGCTCCGCATACATTTTTACGCATGTAAAGGGCTCCTGAGCCCAAAAAGTTTGAGAATTGCTGGCCTACATAATATGAAACAACATGAAAGAATACTGTATTGTAAGCTCATTGGGGCAGGGATTGTCTTTTTGTTCTGTGTTTGTATAGCATTTGTTCTGTGTTTGTACAGCAGTGGCAGGCAACCTGTGGACCACATGCAGCTTGTCAGGGTAAGCCACTAGCAGGCCACCAGATAGGTTGTTTACCTTGTGTCCCCTGAGCCACCCACAGCCCCCATTGACTATAGTTTGCCATTCCCAACAAATGGGAGCTGCAGGAATCTGTGCGGCCATAGGGACTTGCTGACTTCTTCGTCCCGCCAGAAAAAGCAAACTACCTCCAATGGGAGCTACAGGTGGCTGTACCAAGGAGCACACGGTAAACAACCTGTCTGACAGCTTGCTAGCAGTTTACCCTGACAAGCTGTGTGTGGCGCATGAGCTGCAGATTGCCCACCACTGGCTTAGCATAATAGGATCCTGGTCTCTGGCTGGGACTGCTAGATGCTACAATACAAACAAACAATAAGCCAAAAATAACAACATTCAGCAATCCCTAACTTCCCTTTTTCTCATTATATTTAAGACATCCTTTTACATGACACATTTTAAGTATTGTTTTAAAAATGATAATTACATTTTAATTATTAAAAATATGTATCACTCAGTACAAGTTTATTGCTATTCATAATCTCTTTGGGACAGACATTATATTAACAGACAGGATGAGCTTAGCATGTTTTGGGAGTTACAATAATGTTGTTGTTTTTTTGTTGACTTCAGTTATTTTTAAAATGTTTTAAATAATTGTGATCAAGAAATGAGAGTAACCTATTTCGCTTCTTTACAAATTTCCAAATCTAATTTTTATTGTTGTTTCATTTCTCATGATTTACTTTATTTGTTTTTAGAGATCATGTTTTAAGAGGAGAAAAAATGATGAATAAACACAATCAGAGTCAAAACATTCTGCCAGGAAACTGGCACCCAGAAGAATACAGGATCGCATCACTGGTCTTCTATAGCTTTATATTCATAATTGGATTGCTAGTAAACATCACTGCACTATGGGTCTTCAGCTGCACCACCAAGAAAAGAACGACGATAACAGTCTACATGATGAACGTTGCATTACTTGACTTAATTTTTATATTGTTCTTACCTTTTCGGATAAGCTACTATGCAAAAGCAGTTTGGCCATTTGGAGATATGTTCTGTCGGATTCTTGGCGCTTTCACTGTGTTTTATCCAAGCATTGCTCTGTGGCTGCTTGCTTTTATAAGTGTTGATAGATATATGGCTATTGTCCAGCCCAAACATGTCAAAGAACTTAAGAATACAAAGAAAGCTCTGCTAGCTTGCATTGGTATCTGGATAATGACCCTTGCATCAACTTCCCCACTGCTATTTTTATATTCAGATCCAGATAAAGCCTCAGATTTTATGACCTGCCTGAAGATGCTCGACATCATCCATCTAAAGGAAGTCAATATGTTAAATTTTACTCGTTTGACTTTTTTTTTCCTTATTCCCCTGTTTATCATGATTGGATGCTATCTAGTCATTATTTACCATTTTGTCCACGGCAGGACTTCCAAACTGAAACCCAAGGCTAAGGAAAGATCTATAAAAATTATAGTTACTCTGATTGTGCAAGTGCTTTTCTGCTTTGTGCCCTTCCACATTTGTTTTGCATTCCTGATGCTGCAAGATGAAGACAAGAGTTACAATCCATGGGCAGCCTTTACCACCTTTCTCATGAATCTCAGTACGTGCTTAGATGTTATCCTGTACTACATTGTTTCTAAGCAATTTCAGGCTAGAGTCATCAGTGTCATGCTTTACCGTAACTATCTTCGAAGTGTGCGCAGGAAGAGTTTTCGATCTGGGAGTGTAAGGTCATTAAGTAATATAAACAGTGAAATGATATAAAAAAAAATCAGAAGATGCTTATAATGTGGTGAAGCGATTTTCACTGAAGTGTGACATTTCAGCTTAGTTGAAATCAAGAATACTCTGGAGTTTGCAATATTGGGACACATTACATCTGTGGTAGCATAAATGTGGGACAAATGGAATACCAATTAGGTAAAGTATTAATATTCATCTATGCATTTTACATTTTTACAGTAAATCCAGGAGATCTAAAATATTTATGATCTACTACCTGAGTGAAGCAGGCATACAAATATATTGTTCCTCTCATCAAATGTAAATATTTCTAGGCATAAAAAAAGTCAATGTCCATGCTAGTGCATATACAATTTAAATAAAGCAAAGAATATCTGCTTATATATGATGCATTAAGATTTTATATATACATGCCACATTGTATATGATACCAAAGTATCTATTATATTCATAAGTTCAGCCTTTACCAGGAGAACAGAAGCATAAACTGAAGAGAAAGCTTCTTTAATTTTTATTTGTTTTGTTTACTTAAAATCTGTTTTATTTGGCAGTATTTTGACACCCTAAAACTAATGAAATTCTGTAATAAATAAAAAAGTACACCAAATAGTAGAAGAGAATAATTATTCAAATTGTTAATTTCCTGTAAGTATAATATACCACATTACTAACATCTGGAATACTCCCAAGTTTAAATAAATAGAATATTCTTTGTTCCAGAATAATGAATGTAGTTTATACAGACATACAGAAAATGTACATCCCATCTCTAATCTTTCGGAATATGGAAACATTACAAGTCCCTTTTAATAGCTAATCTTGGAAAGTCTAACAAAAACCACGTATTTTTAACTACAGTATAACTTTCCACGTGCTTATGAGAATGTCAGTTTTTTTCATCAGCTATACAAAGGATGAGAAACCAGAAGCACTTATATTTGACATTAGAAAAAGTGATTATAAATGCTTTTCTTAATACCAATGAGCACGCAGCATATGGAAAGCCATGATTATGTGAGGTTGACCACACTAAAGTGTAAACCCAACTACAAATACTCACTTAGCAATCCAGTTTTCTGTATTGTTTTTATTATGCAAATCTCAAAACTAGCTTATTTGAAACTGAGTTCCTGAAGAATCTTATGCTTTAAACACCTCACTCTTCAAATGTTAAATGCAATAAAATGTAATACACATATACATGATGTCCTATAAAACTCAAGAGTTTTGAAATGTGAACTGATTAAGTACATTCCACTATGAAATGCATAGAGTTTTGCATATTTTAAATTATGATTTACATAACATTTGTTTTGTGGTTTCAGTGCTAAGTATGCTTCTGAAAAAAGCATGAAATCAAAACAAATGTTCAGGAATACTGTACTGAGTAAAGAATAAAAGATGCCAGCACTGAAAGGTAACTCATTTACTCCAAGACAAATGAAAACACAATATTGTGAAACGAAGTCACCATAAAGTGGATGTATAATGCTAAAAATATTTTGACTCTACTACAGGACATATTTGGAAAATAGTGTTATAAAATAAATATTCATGCCGAAAAGGATAAACTGGATTTAAAATGTTATATTAACAGGTTATTTTACTCCAATCCATAATAAATATTCCCTCGGAACAGTATATAAGACAAAGATAAACCCATTAAAAACTTACAATCCAGAAGGCAAGCTGCTAATGGTGATGCCAAATGCATATTGCACAACTTCTACAAGGAGAAGATCAAACAACGCTGACAGCATCCAGGAGCCCAATAAAAAGGACTGAAATGGCAAAACAAAACACAAAGGTCCCAGACATTAATTAATTTAACAGGAGCCGGTTAATTCTATAAGATTAAACATTTAAGAACAAACATAAGAATATAACAACGGCCATATTGGATCAGACCAAAGGTCCATCTCTCCCACAGTGGCCAATGCCCCAGACGGAGATTGAACAAAACAAGAAATCATCATGTGATCCCTCTCCTATCATCCATTCCCAGCCTCTGACAAACAGAGCCTGGGGACACCATACCTACTCATCCTGGCTAATAGCCATTGATAGACTAAACCTCCATTAATTTATCTCACTCTTTTCTGGACCCTGTTAAAATCCTAATCTTCACAACATCCTCTGGCAAGGGGTTCCACAGTTGACTGTGTGCTGCCTGAAGATAAACTTCCTTTTGTTTCTTTTAAACCTGCTACCTATTAATTTAATTTGGTGACCCCTAGTTCTTATATAGGGACAAGTAAATAACTTTTCCTTATTCATTTTTTCCACACTAGTCATGATTTTATAAACCTCTATCATATCCCCCCTTAGTCTTCAGTTTTCTAAGTTGAAAAGTCCTAGTCTCTTTAATCTCTCCTCATATGGGACCCATTCCAAATGCTTAATCATTTTAGTTGCCCTTCTCTGAACCTTTTCCAATGCCAATATATCTTTTTTGAGATGAGGAGACCACATCTGTACACGGTATTCAAGATATGGGCGTACCATGAATATATATAAGGGCAATAAGATATTCTCCATCTTATTCTCGATCCCTTTTTTAATGATTCCTAACATCCTGTTTGCTTTTTTGACTGCCACTGAACAGAGTGGAAGTTTTCAGAGAACTATCCACAATCACTCCAAGATCTCTCTCGAGTAGTTATAGCTTATTTAGTCCCCATCATTCTGTATGTACAGTTGAAATTATTTTTTCCAATGTACATTACTTCACATTTATCAACACTAAATTTCATTTGCCATTTTGTTGCCCGACCATTTAGTTTTCTGAGATCTTTTTGAAGCTCTTCACAGTCTGCTTTGGTCTTAACTATCTTGTGCAGGTTAGTCTCAGCTGCAAATTTTGCCACCTCACTTTTTATCCCTTTCTCCAGATCATTTATAAATAGGTTGAATAGACTTGGCATCAACACAGGCCCCTGCAGAACACCACTGGTTACCTCTCTCCATTCTGAAAACTTATCATTTATTCCTACCCTTTGTTTCCTGTCTTGTAACTAGTTCTCAATCCATGAGAGGACCTTCCCTTTTATCTCATGACAAATAACTTTACTTAAGAGTCTTTGCTGAGGGACCTTATCAAGGGCTTTCTGGAAATCCAAGTACACTATATCTACTGGATCCCCCTTGTCCACATGTCTGTTAACCCCCTCAAAGAACTCTAGTAGATTAGTAAGACGATTTCCCTTTACGGGAACCAAGCTGACGTTCCCCCAAAACATTATGTTCATCTATGTGTCTGACAATTCTATTATTTACTCTAGTTTCAACTAATTTGCCCGGTACTGATGTTAGACTTACCAATCTGTAACTGCCAGGATCACTTCTAGGGCTCTTTTAAAATATTGGCATTACATTAGCTATCTTCCAGTCATTAGGTACAGAAGGTGATTTGAAGGATATGTTACAAACAATAGTTAATAGTTTCGCAATTTCCCATTTGAGTTCTTTCAGAACTCTTGGGTGAATGCCATCTGGTCCTGGTGACTTGTTACTGTTTAATTTAGCAATTTGTTCCAAAACCTCCTATAATGACACCTCAATCTGGGAAAATTCCTCAGGTTTGTCACCTAAAAAGAATGGCTCAGGTTTCAGAATCTCCCTATCATCCTCAGCTGTGAAGACAGAAGCAAATAATTCATTTGGTTTCTCCACATTTTCAGAATATGATCTGAAGAGGTGGATCTGCCCCACAAAAGCTTATCACCTAATAAACCATCTTGTTAGTCGTTAAAGTGCTACATGACTGCTTTTTTTGTGTGTTTGTTTGACCATGATCAGACTAACACGGCTACCTCTCTGTTACTTTCCACAGTGACTATCGTTTTTGAGTGCTCCTTTAGCATCTTGTTCGCCCAATGGTTGTTTAGCCAGCTTCCTGCTTTTGATGTACTTAAAATATATTTTACTATTACTTTGAGGTTTTGGCTAGCTGTTCTTCAAACTCCTTTTTTACTTATTATATTTTTACATTTAATTTGACAGAGTTTATACTCCTTTCTATTTTCCTCACTAGGATTTAACTTCCACTTTTTAAATCAAGTCCTTTTATGTCTGACTGCTTCTTTTACTTATTTAAGCCAAGCCACAGTGGCACTTTTTTGGTTTTCTTACTGTGTTTTTTAATGTGGGGTATACAATTAAGTTGGGTCTCTATTATGGTGTTTTTGAAAAGTTTTCATGAAGCTTACAGGGATTTTACTTTTGTCACTGTACCTCTTAATTTCTGTTTAAATAACTGCCTCATTTTTGTGTAGTTTCCCTTTCTGAAATTAAATGCTACAGTGTTGGGCTGCTGAAGTGTTTCTCTCACCACAGGGATGGTACATTTTATTATTTTATGGTCACTATTTCCAAGCTGTCCAGTTATATTTACCTCTGGAACCAGATCCTGCACTCCAGTAAGGACTAACTCAAGAACTGCCTCTCTCCTTGTGGATTCCAGAGCCAGCTGCTCCAAGAAACAGTCACTTAAGGTATCAAGAAATTTTATCTCTACACTCCATCCTGAGGTAATGTGTACTCAGTCAATATGAGGATAGATGAAATCCCCTGCTATTATTGAGCTTTCTATTTTGATAGCTTCTGTAATCTCCCTTGGCATTTCATAGCCACTATCACTATCCTGGTCAGGTGGTCGATAATATATCCCTACTGATATATTATTATTATTATTATTATTAGAGCATGGAGCTACTACTACCAGGGCTCGACAAACTGCAGCAAAAGCTACTCGCCAGCCACGCACCGTGCATGTGCCAGACTGGCACTGCACATGCGTGCAATGCCGGTGAATGGGGCGCACAGAGTGACCAGCTGAAATCTACTCGCCACGGGCAAGTAGAAATAACTGTTTGTTGAGCCCTGACTACTACCCACAGAGATTCTATGGAACATTTTGGTTCATTTAAGATTTTTACTTCATTTGATTCTACATTTTCTTTCACATGAAGTGCCACTTCCCCACCAGCATGACCTGTTCTGTCCTTCCGATATATTTTGTACCCTGGTATAACTCCACCAAGTTTCTGTGACACCTATTATATCAATAATCTCCTTTAATACGAGGCACGCTAGATCACCCATCTTATTATTTAGATGTGAATGCTTGCGTATAAGCACTTCAAAAATTTGTCACTATTTGTCTGCCATTTCCTGATGTGTTACACTCTTTTTCATTCGATTGTTTCCCATCTGATCTTACCCATATTTTATCATCTTCCATCCTTTCCTCCTGACTAGAACACAGAGAATCTCTATTATTAGACCCTTCCCTAAGAGACGTCTCTGTCCGATCCATGTGCTCCTCAGCATCCGTTGGCTTTCCCCCAGCACTTAGTTTTAAAACTGCTCTACTTTTTAACCTTTTAAACATAAGAATGACAAAGCTTTGATGCAGAAGTTCTGACTTTTAGTGTTGAAAAAGTCTATTTTAGTAGTTCAATTAACCTAAGTTTATTTCTTTGGACATTACAATTCAATTTCACAACACATGTTTTCCACACCACTCTTTCTTATCTTAATGAACTATAATGAATTGGATTGTTCAATAAAATTCATTTTCATGGACCACATAAAACTTACTGTAGTCTACCAACATTTTTTCTTACACTGAGCCATTCGTGTTTAAATGAAAAAAGCTAAAACAATGTTTCTGGTTATTCAATTGTGATTTATAGGTAAAATTACCAATTAAAAATAAATTTTGATTAATGGAAATAAAATAGCAATTAAGAATAAACCTTAATATAACCTTTAAAATTAAAAACGCCATTTGAAAACATTGGTTAGCCTACATAATATGAAACAACATGTCTAACCACAAAGACTACAACAGAATAAATATTTGACAGTAATGTGAGACCAGAGGAGTTAGTTAATTGTGGGTACTGAAAATGATACAAGAGGCACTTACTGAAAATTTTCGGCTGCCATATCTTCTTTCAAATATCCTAAAGTTATAAATGAGCAAGCTACTGCAGAATGCATCTTTCAGATCAAGACATACTGTTCTCCCAAATACAAGTCTCCAAATCTAGAATAGAAAAGCATCAAGATATTTAATTTTCTTCCATCCTCCATGGAAATTCATCAGAAGATATGTGGTTAGGTTAAGGATAAGAGAAGGAAAACAAAAGAGAAGGAAACATTTAGTGATAATATCCAGAGTAAATACAGTGGTGTACATATTTCTGAAATTATTTTTCAAAAGTGATTAGTATTAATAAGTTTATTTTAAAAAATAAAACATTTCCATATAAGATTTTTTTAAGTTATTTTAATATTCAACCCAATTCCACTCATCTTTGATAGTTTGCATCTTCAATTACGAACATACCATGCTTTCCACAGATAGCTTATAGCAGTGCTGATAACAGAAAAGATGGCTCCTTTCAACAGGGAATTTTTACCCCAGGCATGTCAAACTGGCGTCTGGAGGGCCGCATGTGGCCCGATCAAAATTTTTCGTGGCCCGCCAGTACATTTTTATAAAGGAATAAAGTGTGGCCCACTGGCCACCCAGAGCATGTGGCTGAGTGCAGATCACAGCCAGCCGAGCCACTCTGCACCACAGTGACTGCTCACGGCCGGGGCCGCTCTGCGCATGCGCTTACAGCCTGCCGGGCAGCTCTGTGCCCAGCGCTCAGCATGTGCTCACACCCGGCTGGGCCGCTCTACGCTGGGCGCTCTGTGCATGTGCTCACAGCCAGCCAGGCTGCTCTGCGCTAGGTGTTCTACACACGTGCTCACAGCTGGCCGCTGTGCTCACACCGCCCCTGCATGCCTGAGAAATAAATGTGTGGCAGCGGCAACTCCAGGACCCGGGTATTAGGTTAGAGGGGCCTGGGAATGCCTGGCTGTGGGGGACTAGATAGGGGCTGGATTAGAACAGGAGTCTGGGGGAGAAGAAGAGTTATTTTGTTAATATTTTGGTTTTTATTTATTTATTCCCAAATAAAATCACAAAATGTATATTAATTGTATCAATAAATATATGGCAATTTTTTGCAATTGCAGGAATAATGATATGTTTATGCAAAATCTCAAATTTACAAAGTATCTGAAATTTTCACAGAAGTGTGTTCTATTTGATTAATCACGGTCTATACTTGTTTTTATTTCAACAAAACAAGTTATGTATCATATAAAAAAGTAAAAAGTACCTTAAATTTATATTTAAATGAAAAATTATTTTATATGAGCAAATAACAATTTTACACATCAAATTATTGTATTATATTAAAACAAGACCAGAAAAAATATTATAAAATATAACTAAAACAATCTGTAATAATAAATAATTACGACTTTCTGATAAAGTACATTTTTTTTGGTGGTCCTGAAAGCTATCGTTTCCGTTTGTGTAGCCCTCAGTAGGCTTTGAGTTTGACACACCTGTTCTACCCTTAACTATTTTTCAGCAGTACAAAGAAAATTAAGTGATTTCAGGTCTCCCTTTAGGGTGAACTGCAAAGAAAAAGTTAAACAAAATGTGGGTTTGCCTTTTCTGTTCCTTTATAATGTAAAAAAGTTACTGCAAAACTTTCTCTCCAATTTTTTATTCTGAGATTTGAAATATGAGAAACATCAGTCTCCCACTTCCTTCTTTTTGCATAGTGTCTTAATGAGATATTTGGAAGACCCACGTAGTGATATTACATGAAGCTCTAATATGAGCTCCCTGTCCCTACAACTGAATACACAGAAGCCATGTCCATGCTTCAGGTACTAAGGCAGCATACTGATAGCATAGCATAGATGCAATCAATAGTGACTGAAGGGGGTTTTCCATTGCTGCAGAAACTCTATCGTCCCAAGTTCTTTTATCAACCTACTTGCATTTAATCAGAGGGCTACGTTGGAATAGCTGTTGTGATCAGCATTGCAAATTTTTCTCACCTGAGTGCTGTAACTATTTCAATCTAAATTTTAAGTGAAGATCAGGCTGAAAACAGCAATAGCATAAGGAACCTTATTAGCTTCTCCTTCTCCCTGTGGGGTAGCAGGGAGATAAAGTTATGTCCTTGTATGATAATACTGTTCAAGTCTCTCAAAGATCTTTCGGAAACCTCCAGAAAAAAAAAATAGTGACAACAGCTCAGTATTTTTAACTTAAAAAACAAGGAGAAAAGACTGGAAGTAGGGATGTAAGTAACTAATCAACTAGTCGACTATCTGATAAGCAAAAGCTTATTGGCTACTCAACACTCTAGCTGACTAGTTGCTTCGCCCCCTCCCCCCACTGCCTCTATCTGAAAGAGGCAGGGCGGGGTGGGGGGGAAAGAGAGGGTGCTAGGGGGAGCTGGCTTAAAAGCCGGTTCATCCCTGTGCCAGCTCTGTGGGAGGGGGCGGGGAGCAGTATTGGCATTCCACTTTTGAAATGGACAAGAGTCCCCACTGGGGTTGAGAGTCCCCATTGGGCTCCCCCTAGCACCCTCTCCTCTTCCCCCCTTGATGCCTCTTTCTGATAGAGGCACCGGGGTGGTGGTAGGGAAGTGAAAATCTCTTGGCAAAATCTACGTCCTATATTATGCAGGTCAGGGTAGATGAAAACAATAGTCCTTTAACCACAAAATAAGACTACGAACACAACAAAATTATTCATATGCATGTCAAAAGATCAGATACTATTTAAGGTGTTTGGCCATGTCTACATTAGTCAGCTTTTAGTGGCACAGCTGTACTGATGGAGCTGTGCCGCTGTAAGATCAGTCACGCAGCCACTCTATGCCAAGAGCTCTCCCTTCAACATTAAAAGAAAAAAACCTCAATAAGCAATTAGCAACTATGTTGGCAGAAGCTCTCCTCACACATTACCCCTTATAATGGTGAAACTTCTGTTGCTCGGGGGTGTTTTTTCACACTCCTGAGTGATAGAACTTCTGGCAACATACATAAGTGGCACCGGAAACATGGCCATAATTTATATTCAATTTGTACAAGGCTCATATTTCTCCTCAGTTGAAAAAGAGAGGATGAAATAATATCAGAATCCCAGAAGAAGGAAATGAGAGCTACTCTGATGATTTGTTTTAGCAGAAGTGAAAAAAAGCTATCATGGGTAGGTACATGGGTTAAATGGGTATAGTGGTTTTAACAGACTAGTGATTTAAGGGCTTTCCTGCATAGTGAATTATCATGCAATAAGCTAGGCATGCTTCCCAGGTGGACACAATTATTCTGCACTAAAGTGCCTTTGTCACATTGGCTAAACAACTGTGCTTTAAATTCACATCCTATCTTATTACTAGTTTCCCTAGTAAACAAGACCAGAGTCCAAGACAATGAGGGGAGGGGCGGAGAAAACTACAAGAGAAATATACTATGGAATCAAGAAGTACAGAGTTAATATTTAGAAACCCTCTCCCTTCTAGATAAATGAATTTAAATTTACCTGAAAATCCTCTTTTACAGCATGTAGATTATATGTGAAGAACTTCTGATAATGCTGGAAGAGCAGAGTCAACAGAATCGACAGGGCGCTTGGCACTAGTAAAAGACTCTTTGAGAGAGGTGCTTTATCTTTTAAAAAAAAAAGAACAAAAATTTCAGAGCACAAAAACTCAGATTTAAAAATCCATGTTATAAAACAAGTGAAAAGAGAATGACATAGCACTGGAATCAGCATGAAAGTTCAGATGTCACAATAAAAATGCTGATGGGAAATGGTATAAAACAGAGACAAAAAGACTGAATTAGCCTACTGATATAATTTGAAAACCAAAAAGCTTACTGATATAATTTGAGGACTGTGTTAAGATCATGCTTAGTGAACAAGAAAAGCATAGAACACAAAACAAATGAATTAAAACTGCTTGTTCAGAAACTAGGCCTAAGTGGTGGCAAACATAATGTGGGGAAGAGTTATCCACTCATCATTCCTTTTTGGCTTCATTAAAAGAAAGAGATTTAGGCAGAAAATTTGGCTACTGGAGTGAGCTTTGCCATCATGATTCCTACCCTGGACTTTCTTAACTCGGGTCATGAGTAGGGATGTAATAGTGTAGTTGATTAAGCAATAAGCAAAAGCTTATAGGTTAATGCTATAGACTACATGCATTTCCCCCCTTCTTGCCAATAAGTTTTATAGCTGGATGGCCAACAGCCTGGCTAGAACCTACCCCCACTGCGGCTCTGCATTTAAAGTGTATTAGGATGCAGGCAGGCAGCCCGGCGCAGTTCTGGCTAACACTGGGTCTGGGAACTCAGCCCACCCACCACAGACAAAGGCTGCTACCACCCCATGCTGCTGCCTCTGTATCAGAGGCAACAGCGTAGGGTGACAGACAGTCCACGAGGGAAGCTAGTTTTTAAACTGACTCCCCCTGCAGACCAGCTCCTGCCTGACACCCGAAGCTACTGTCTCTGATAAAGAGGCAGCAGCATGGAGTGGCAAGGGGCTCCTTGGGAGTGGGGCAGAGCACACTGAGTGCCACCCCCCTCCCCCCCCCGGGAACTATAGAATAGTCGAGTATCTGATAAGAATTCATAAGGTTAATCGACTATTCAATTAACCAATATTTAACATCCCTAGTCCTGAGAGATGTTCAGACAGGTCACAAGCAGAAAAAAGGATCACAATGATTCCATCCCCTCTATCAGCTCCACTATATCCCAAACACCGTTTGGAATGTGCGAGTTTCTCTCTTCTCTATAACTCATGTATCCTTCTTCCCGACCACACCTAATTTATTTTCTTTCCTATCTCTCTTCCTTTCTATTCTGATTAATTAGACTCTATCTTAGCTGCCCAACACTGTATATTCTGAAAGTCTATGGCCAGAATTACTCCTTGTGGAATGAGATTTAACAGTTAATTTGAACTAAAGGGTTTATCTCAGAACCCCGCTTCTCTGCCATGTGTAGACGCGGTCAGTTACTTCGGGCTAGTCAGTTTCCAAAATGGCGACCAGCCGGGAATATGCAAATAAAGCGTGGGATATTTACATATCCTGTGCTTCATTAGCAATTTCAGTAGCAATTTCAGTAGCCCTCATTAGCCTCCCTAGTTCCAACTAGGGGGCTAGTGTAGACACACCCTGACCTAAACTCAAGTTTTGCTCTACTGAAGAGGCTTTATTGAACTTTTATCCTCCAATGTTCACATAATCTGTTTTCTGGGTGCTCTCTGGCATCTGAGACACTAGATTGCTAATGCATGTTTGAGGCTGAATTAAGATTGCATTGTGGCATGTACTGTAACTTTTCATTTTTTGGTTTTCAGGGGCTTAAGCATGGGTGTCTGGTTTGTAAGGCAAAGGGAAGCACTGCCTCACCAATGCTGGGGCTCTGCGGGCCCTGCCCCTCCCCTTCCTATCTCCAACATCCACATGAGGTTGCTGTGGAATGTTGTTAGTATGATTCAGGCAGGTTCCAGGGTGGCTGGGAAGACAGAGTGGCAGGGAGCCTCCTCAGCAGCCCCGCCCCCCCGAACCTGCATAAGGCTCAAATTATACTCAAGTAGGCTCTCAGCCTGCAGATCTCTCCAGCCACCATACCTAAGAGGAGTGCCAGCTCTGCTCTGCAGAGACCACCCCACTCAGCTTGCTGTGTTGCTGCTGCTTGCCTGTTTCTCCCCCTCTTTAGCTCCCTCCTTGCTTGGCCTCTCACCTCATCCAGCTCCCTTCCCAGCACCTTGGCCCAGGATGGTCAAAGTGGGTTTCCTCTTTGCTGCCCCCTTCTTCTATGCACTCTCCCTGCTCGGTTGGCTCCCACCTCTTGCTAGTGTGTGGACTGGGGGTGAGTTTGGTTTCATTTTCCCAGCCCAGATGCTACTGAGCCCGCTGCTAGGGGCTCTTCTCCCCTTGCCTTTTCCCCACACACTCTCCCCATAGTCCGCCTCCTCCCTTGCTACTGTAAGTGGTGGGGGAGGTGTTCCTAGCCCAACAAACCCTGCAGAGATAGCTGCCAGATCCCTCCCCTTCTTGTCCTGTCCCCACATGCTTCTTGTTTTCTGTGCCCTGCAGTGGAGTTGGATGGGGGGGGTGAGCCTGGGGGAAATGAGAAAAGAGGGGTGAGGAAGTGGGAGGAAGAGACACAGGGGAAGGGATGAGGAGTGAGGGGAATGAAGAGAAGGGGAAGAAAAAAGAAAAGGGAATAAGTAATCAGGGTGGGGGGGGATCAGGAGTCCGGCATGCGGTGTTCCCTCAGCAGCAGCTGGGTCTCACTGGGAAAACTTGTCACAACCATATATACCAAAGGATACAATTAAAAAAAAATGAACACATCTGAAATTTGATTGGTCCTTTTCATAACAGAAGGGGGATGGGGAGGGGAAGGTAAATGTCTGTGAGCTAATGATATTAGAGGTGATAATTGGGGAAGCTATCTTTGTAATGGGTAAGATAATTAATGTCTTTGTTTAAACTTTGGTATAGAGTGTCGAATTTAAGCATGAATGGTTTTCAGAGGCTTAAGCTTTGTAATCTTACCCATTACAAAGACAGCTTCCCTTCCTCCCTCCATCCCCCTTCTGTTCTGAAATTTGACTTGTCCTTTTCATATGTGTTCATTTTTTTAAAATTGTATCCTTTGGTATATATGGTTGTGCCAATTTTCTTCCACTATTTGATCTGAGGAAGTGGGTCTGGCCCACGAAAGCTCATCACCTAATAAACCATCTTGTTAGTCTTTAAAGTGCTACATAGTCCTGTTTTTTGTTTCAGCTACAACAAACTAACACGGCTACATTTCTATCAGTATTCTAAAGTTTACATAGGTATTAATGGCTTAAGGTAAGAAAGAAAAAGATTCTTTTAACATAATTTTTTGGAGAGCTAAAGATATCTAAAATTCTGGCCTTAATGATTTTTTTTAAATCCAGTGTTTAAATCCAGTATAACACATGGTATACCGTATTGCATAAAGACCAGATCTTTGCTATATGGTAGAATTCTGGCTCTTACGAGTCACAAAGTAAGGACATAAGTGACTAGTCGAGTAGTCGACTTCCTGGTAAGCATAAGCTTATCGAGTAGTCGAGTGACTACTCAACTAATTGCTTCCCCCCCTCACACACACACACACAGCCTCTGTATCAGAGGTAACAAGGAATGGGGGAAGCAAGAGACACTCAGCTGGCTTAAAAGCCGGTTCACCCCAGCACCATCTCCGTGGTACAGGGGAAGGGGGCAAGAGTCACAGTGGTCCCAGGCACAGTGCGAGCTGGGACTGTTTACTCCTGGCTCACGCCGCTGCCGGGACCACTGTGGCTCTGCAGCTCTTACTACATTTAAAGTGCAGAGCCACAGCAGGAGCACCTCCTCCCTCCCTTATCGACTAATTAGTTGATGAAAAATCCATCAACTACTCAATTAATTAAGAGATACTTAACATCCTTAGTCAGAAGTAGCCAGTATTAGGTGTGATGCTCGTTTTGTACGATGAAGCCTTATTTGCAAGCTCTTTGAAACATACATCTGTCTACAAACCCTGAAGCCATGTGTCAATCTGTTCTGGGAATTGTGCTCTTTGAGTTTTGTTAGTCTTTAAAGTGCTGCAGGACCACACATTTCTTTTTAAAGTATTTTCAGTTACAGACTAACACGGCTATCCCTCTGAGAGTTTGCGCTTGTGACACACACAAGGTGAAAGTTTCATACCTGCAGAACGTTTATTTGTTTTTACAGCAGGGATCCTAAACTTTCCCCCAAGAAACTGTGTAAGCCTTAGTGAATGCCTTTTACTTTCCTTTCCAGTGTCAGTTAATATTGTATTAGTCATGCTCTCCTTGCAAATACTATTTCCAATTGACTCAGATGTGTTTTGCATCTTAAAGCTGAGCTGTGTGTGAATAATATGCATTTTGGTGTGTTTACTAGCTTGTGTTGTTAGAAAGGATGATACACATACTCCAAGTGTAGTGGTAATTTTCATTTTTATTTGATTTCATATTAAATATCACAAGCATTGTTCCTTGTTAACTATCCCTTGTTTTAATATATTTTTCTCTTTCACACCTCTGGACTGATATATATATTTATATAAAATATATAATGTGTGTGTTTTTGTTTGTATTGGTGATGCACATCAACACACACACACACACACACACACTACATCAATACTGGTGTTGCACATAAGAAATTTCAACACGCCCAAAAGAAAATTCTACCAGCCCAGGGATAGAAAATGTTAGAAGGAACAACACTTCCCCATCTGCTAAAAAATCTCAGGTGAAGATCTCAGGTTTTCTTAATGGCCTTCCTATCACAGACTTCCATTATGACATTGGACCTGGCATTTAAGGGTTGGTGTTAAGGGTGATTTTTTCTACTCATTAAAAAAAACAGTGGATAAAGAACTTAATTATCCTGTGCCTCAGTTTTTCCATCTGAAAAAAGGGTTGATGATAATATTTGCCTGCCTCAGAGGAGTGTGTGGTTTTAATTGAGTGTTTTGATGTCATCACATGGAAAATGCTGAGAATTGTTTTTTACAATTTCAAAATCTTTCTGCTTTAGTCATACAGTAGCCACTGCTCCAGGATGACAGAATTTCAGTTTGTGATTTTATGGGATGATCCCTCCTCCCATTGTGTGATGCTGGAGCAAATTGCCAGAAAAGGCAGGGATAGCAAGAGCAGGGCCCCACCCTACCTCCCTGAATCATCACTAGTCAAAGACACAGGTAAGGCCAGCCAGCTCTATGCTGCGTGTGTGCTGCAGAGAAGTCTGAATCATTTGTGAGCCCGCTCCTAGACTTCCCAGGCCCCAGCCCTGACTCCTGCACCCCACACCCTGAGCTCCCACAAGGAGTTGAGCAA